TGATAAATTAGGTTTTTTTTGTTAAGTTGACACATTTAAATATGATAATATAATAAATTAATAATATCACAAGTATATCATCAAAAGGTAGGAGTGCAACATGGGCAGACACAACCTGAATTCGAATTGACTTAACCCACAATTTTATTTATATGGGTTGGGCTTGGATTTTCAGTCCTTGGGTTAGGCCTGGGCCCAAAAATTCAGGCTTTTTAATTTTTTTGGGTTGAGCTTGAGCCGAGCCTTTAGGTAGCTCTAACCTGGTTCAAGCCTAGTTTGACCTTATCCTAACTCAAGCCCAACCCAATTATATACATGTATATATGTATCCAAAATTTTAGATGATGATAATGATAGTAGTTATGTATCCAAAATTTTTTATAAACTTTATATTTTWTATTTTTTATTATTAATTGGATGTAGATTGCAAAATCCAATGGTTACATAAACACCTCATCCAAATATGTGATAATTGGGTCAAGTTGTGAAGTTTCAAGTATCATTAAAAAGCCTACTTGCTTCGCTAGACTCTTTTTTTATAATATTTTATCTTTTTGGTGTATCTATTTTTGTTCATTTATAAAAAAGAATGTAAGATTTAAATAATAGAAGGAATTGAATGAGGTGAAAAATAGTAGTTCAATTTATAATTTAAACCTCACAATTAAATAATGACTAGATTCAAAATAAGTATTTTAGTCAAAACAAAGTTCAATAATCTTTATTCATATTTTTAATAATAGCGTAAATATAGAATTATAGATGTGTTCAATATTCCTGTGTGTAAAAATAATTATGATATGTCACACTTACCTTTTGTTTAATATGATAAATATATAATATTATGCATATGCACGAATGTTTTTTTTTTAAATTATGTATTTTTATTTTTTTATTTTTATATTTTATTAATTTTTATTATTTATTTATGACATTAAAGGTTAACAAATTTGACCCAAAAGTTGAACTATTTATCTTTGCCAAATAATAAAATAATTTCATTTTTAGTCAATTCTAAATTATGTATTTCATTTTCACTATCAGTAAAAGTAATTCTTATTTTACACTTATCATTTTTAATTTGATTAATAAAAATATTGTTAATGTGTCTAACTTTTTTCTACATTTTTGTAATTTTCTATAATTAAATTTTATTACCTAACTATGACTTCATAGGCTGATCAATTTGATTTGGATGGTTGAATTGCTTAGCCACCACTTGGATAATATGGTTTTGTTTTTGAGTCAGTTTTAAAATATATGGATTTATATTATTGAAAATATTGAGATAGATCTACTTAGTAGCATTTATTAGTGAAAAATAACTTAAATATAAAACTTAATAAGAAAAATGGGAGTTAATATCTTAAGCATAACACTTAATAAGAAGGGATTAAATGAGGTGGAAAGTAATAATTGAACTTACATTTTCAACCCTTACAATTAGAGATGGACTAAATACACAAATATGGGCATTTTAGTAACCACTAAATCTGACATTAAAACTGTAATAAAATGATTTTTATACCCTTTCTCAAACAAAGAAATAGAGGGCATTTTAGTCCAAAAAAATTTCACTTTGCATCCAAAAAAATCTTTCGCATTTATATATAATATAGATATAGACATATACAAGTGGGCTCTCATGCGGTGCAAGGAATTGGACTTAAAACTTATTGTTCTATGGAACTATAGTGCAGGGGTAGGAATGGTAATTTTCTCCATCCCCGCCAAGTACCTGGCCTCCCCTATCAGATGGGGATGGGATGGAGATTGCCTTTGCAAGGTAGGGTGGGGATGGAATTAATAGGAATACGCGATTGGGGATGGGGAGTAAAATCCACACCGTGCCCCAAAATTACTTAATACTTGATTGACCAAAATTACTTAAAATATCAATAACTACTTAATTATTAAATTTATATTTATTAATATTTTAATATTTTAATTAATTATTAATTTTTTAGTAATTATTGATTTCAATAATTAATTTTCAAAAAATTCTAAAATTAAATTACCAAAATCAGTAATGTTTAGCAAGTAATTCTTAGTAATTAAAATTTTCAATTTACTAAAATTATGAAAATTTATAGTTTAGGTGTTGATATTTACTAAATAATATTCAATAATATCAGTAATTATTGAAAATATAAAAAATATTTCACAAATTAATTTAACTACCCAAATTAATTTACCCACGTTTTTGATTTTTAGATGGTTTATAATATAAATTAAGAGGTGTTGTAGGAGGAATTTTAGATGAGAGAGATTGTTTACGAGAAATTTTAGGAGGTTGAGCCCATTGGTAACATGAGAGAGAGAGAGAGAGTTGGAGTGGAACTCTAGTGAAGAAGAGAGGGGTTGCCATGTGGCAATATTGATTAAGAGGTGTTTGAAGAATGTTAGGTGGGAGAGATAGTTTAGGAGAAATTTTAGGAGGGGGTTGGCTAAGTGGTTGAGAATATGAGAGAGATTTGAAGTGGCACTCTGGTGTAGAAGAGAGGTCTGCCACGTGGCTACATGGAAGGGCTAGGAAGGGGTAAGGGAGAAAGGAGAGAATAGGGAATGGGAGAAGGAGAAGGCTACCTGGCCTAGTTTGGTTCATAGGAATAGGGGTTTGGAATCAGAATCGGAATGGGCTATTCCGATTCCAACTGTTTGGATGTGCAGAATTGGAATCCCATTCCCATTCCTATTGGAATGGCATTCCCCCATTTGAGGGAATGGCCATTCCCTGCCCCTCCCTTGGGAATGAAATCTCATTCTTACTGATTCTAATTCTCATTCCCACTCCTGTCTAAACCAAACAGACTATAGGAATAGACCATTCCAATTCCAATTCTGATTCTGGAGGATTTCGATTCCGATTCCACCTACGAACCAAATGGACTCTTAAGATTGGGCTTGGGTTAAGCTAAAACGCAGCCCAACCCGCCCAACTTCCACCCATATCAAAAGGCAAGTATTATACTTAAGGTATTTAGGATCCACCTAGTTCACAACCAAAATCGGAATGATCTATTCACATAATCTGTTTGATTCAAACATGAACAAGAATGGGAATTGAAATCAACAAAAAAGAGATTTCATTCCAATTCCACCCAACCAAACAATTAGAATCAGAATATCTATTTTGATTCCAATTCCAAACCCCTATTCCTACAAACCAAACAAGCCTTAGATCTTCATCGAGTAGAAAGTAGAAAACAACCAAAACTTTCCCTAGGACATCTATACTTATATAAAGCCGATGCTTATAGGCTATAAAAATTAAATCCAAAAATACCATGTATGATGTATCATTATGTAATTAATACTTATGGTGTAATATAAGAACCAAACCGTATATAATAGATAGGGTATTATCCAAGAAAAAAATCCTAATATACTATATGATAAGATAGATTCGGTTTGGTTCTATCGGGTCACCCGACCCATTGACAGCCCTGTGCAAGACCCCAAAAGAATGTCCAACCAAAAAGTCAACCAAATCAAAGGATCACTGTTTATAAAAAAAAGATTAAACCATCTGTGACACTTCGTTCCACTGTCTGCGTTCAGATCTATGGCATAATGCTTGATGCCATGATATAGTTGGGCACGTTCTAATTTCCAACATGATCTGACTCCCTGCATTTTACTATGAGATCCATGAGATGTACGCAGTTCTACTGGAATCCATGATGTATGATATGGGGTTTGAGAGGGTGTTGAAATATTGTTGGCGGGAGATATCAACTTGCCATGGATAGGGATCTGCTACCAATATAAAGCGAATTCACATATGTGCCCTGGAGATGGTGGCCCACAAACGCCCCACAGTATATCCTAATCGTGTATTGAGAACATTTTCCATTGACAATTTCAAGGGATATCCCTAATGCACGCTGAGATGTGTATGGGGGACATTTGTGTGGTGCAGATGTGATTTCATATAAAGCTCTCAACATGTCGCTGCAGTTGCCACATTAGAAGCATCTCCCTTGTTATTTCATGGCTCTACTATAAGAGTTGGGATTACCAACAAAACACGTTTCAACACTCTATCAATTTGATCAGACACCATACATCTCATTATAAAATTGGGGCATATCATGCATGAGATGTGCAGTGTCAAATGATGTTGATAGGGTGTTGAGGTGATTTTATTGATAGGTAATTTGGACTCCCATTGTAATGGCTCATTCGGGGAGTTGGGATCTTCTGCCACCAAAAGGAGATCGGATCTGCTGCTTACATAGGATGCCTCACACGCACATCTTACCATGCATTGGGAACATCTCYTGTACTTATAAGTTATTATTCACGGGAGATATTCCCAATGCACGGTGGATGTACCTGTGAGGAGCAGATCCTATTCTCACCAAAACACATTCCAATCCCTACCAACATGATTTGACACCACACATCTTACATGAGATTGGGACCCATCATAAAAGTGGGACCCACCATGTATGAGATACCGTGTGTTTGATTGTATTGGGATCAATTGCCAATAAAACACATTCCAACCCCTACCAACTTAATTTGACACTACACATATCACATCATGAGACTAGGACCCACCATAAAAGTGGAACCTGCGAGTCTAGATTTGTTCCTCACRGAGCACGCCTCACATTGATTTCATGAAAGCATTTTGGCTTCTGGCAAAGCCCATTTGGGCAGCTTTTACTACATTGTATTGAGAATATCTCCATACTTGCATGCTTTATTTAATGTAAAGATATTCCTAATGCAGGGTGGGATGTGACTGCGCGCTAAGGAACAGCATATCTGAGATGTAGGGGGTTGGAACGTGTTTTATTTGCAGGTGATCCGGATTCTCTTATCACGTTTGAACTCTAAGAAGTCAAAGTTCAGGCTCTACTGTGTTATTGTAAACCATGCTTACCGTCTATAATTCAGGTAAGGATTATAGATCATTTGCTGGCACCACCTACAGCGGATGCCAGCTCAGCAATCCATTTCGTTTTTTAAAATCTCTTGACACTGGGCGGAGAAAAACTAGGGCTTCCTTCTCTTTCCGGTTCCGCCGATTGCGACCAATAAAATTTTAATTTCTCAGAAAGCAAGAAAGTTAGAACTTCACACTCATTCTCCGCAGTCTACAACCAGTAAGTTTTAAAAATCTTCAACTAGTTTCTTAATTAATTGCATTATTTCTTTTCTGTAATTTTCTATTAATGGAGGAGGGGAGGGAGATTGGAAGATAAATGGAAATGACTTGTGGGTGTTCGTTTTCTTCTCGCTCACTGTCGGTAGGATTTATAAGCTCATTCAGTTAACATACCAATTACAGCTAGAGCTGATCCTTGCTGCTTCGCGGTAGTCGATCGATCCGTGGATTAATTTGTCGCAGGACTGTAGTGACCGTCTTTCAACTCTTCGATTCAGGTGCGGCTTCTCATTTCTGTTGTTCTGGAATTCTTTTTTTAATTTATATTTGGTGAATTATCAGCAAACTTGGTCAAAGTTTTAGCTTTTTGGGGTGAGTAAATTGGCGTTTTTTCTTTCAGAGATTCATCATTTTTTTTCTCATGTAAAAAATGCGTTTTTGATGTGATTAATTTTGTTCATTTGGGTAGATCCAGTTGAGGGTTGAGTTTTATTGTAAAAGGATCGAGTTTTGACTGTCAAAGAAGTCCCTGTGAAGGGGAGAAGCTTTCAATGCAGATCTTGACTGGCGTTCAGGCATTTCGGGAGAAAAAGGATAATCTGTTTGCAGAGTGTATGCGTGAAAAAGCACTTTCCTAGCATTTTTGCATGAGGTGATGTCATTAATCATTAGATCTGATTGAGATTAATCAGTTCATCCTCGGTCTTCCAAAGTCGAATAAGGAGACGCAGAAGCCAATGGAGTCGGGAGGAGAGGCGACGGTTAGTATTACAATAGTTTCCCATGACCACTCTTTTTCTGTAATTCATTGCATGGTCAGGAAACCCCAATTTTCAAATTCATGAGATTTTAATGTCTGTCTTGACTCGTTGTAGTTCACTTATTTGATGGGAGTGCGAAATTTGGTAGCTTAGTACTGCCCTGATTTATTTGTCTCTTTATTCGTCAGTTGTTGCTCTCTCTTGTTTAGCTAAATACATCTTAATTGCACAGAACTTGAGTCTTGTCACAAGCTTAAATGGGTTTGCACTTCTGTCCTGATTTATTTGTCTCTTTATTCGTCACTCTCTCTGTTGTTTAGCTAAATGCATCTTAATTGCACAGAACTTGAGTCTTTGGATTTGCATTTTTTTTGTTTAGTACTGCCTGATTTACTTGTCTCTTTATTCGTCATTCTCTCTGTTCATATAAACACATCTTAATTTCACAGAACTTGAATCTTGTCATGCCTTAATTGGATTTGCACTTTTGACCTCTTATCCTCGCGTTTGTAGTGGGTTGATATTGTTAAAAGTCCAGAATTGTATCCCTCCCTTTACTGACTTGAGACTTTTGAATTGGTTTTATTTGATTCTTCAGTCAAAGACTTCAAAGCATGGTCAGGTCTGCCAGATCTGTGGTGACAACGTGGGCACAACAGTGAGTGGTGAACTCTTCATTGCTTGCGACGTTTGTGCATTTTCTGTCTGCAGGCCTTGCTATGAGTATGAAAGGAAAGATGGGACTCAATCTTGCCCTCAATGCAAGACTAGATACAAGAGGCATAAAGGTTTGTTGCAAGTTAGCCTTATCGTATCATGTTGATGATGAACATCAATAAATAGTTGGCATGATGATAATTCTGTATACTTATTTGCAGGAAGCCCTCCCATTCGTGGTGATCCAGTTGAGGATGATGTCGATAATGTTGATTATCCTTCTGGGAATCAAGACCAGAAGCAGAAAATCGCAGAGCGCATGCTAAGCTGGCATATGAGCTATGGGAGAGGGGAGGATGTCAGGACCACTAAGTATGATAAAGAAGTTTCTCTCAACCACATCCCTTTGCTCACCAATGGCCAGTCAGTAAGTCTCAGCATTAGCTATTCCTGTGTATTTCCACCAGACATTGAAACTGAATTGGAATCATTCTTTTCTTTTTGCTTTTCCTTTTCAGGTTTCAGGAGAATTATCTGCAGCATCTCCAGAACGTATTTCAATGGCATCTCCTGGTGCAGGTGGTGGAAGCAAGCGTGTACATCCACTTCCTTATTCAGCTGATATTAATCAATCACGTATTTCTCTCTCTCTCTCTCAGTCACTCACTCACACACACACACACACACGCATACACCCTCCAACAGAAACAGAAAAACACAATCAAGGGGGGTATTCTCCAATTTGAATTGTTTTTCTTGTTGCCAGATCCAAGAACAAAGCAAAACCAGCTAGTTTGCATTCAAATTGGTTCTTAAAACATAAAACACAGAACACTTGTTCTTGGTTATGTATGCCTGTTCTATTTCCAAAACTGAAACAAAAAATGTATTCTTGAATTCCTGGTTACCAATTGAGCGGTGGCCAGTTATGTTAGCTGGGTAATCCCAACAGATATGTGGATTCGAGTCCTATAACACTTATCTCCGAGTGTTATTAAAGTGTTGTGTTAAATACCAAAAAAAAATCTTGAATTCCTGGTTTACATAACATGTTTTCATATGGTTTTCTAATATAATGTTCCACAAATCATATAATTTCTATACTGCATTTTTCATAAGAAAACATTAATTTGATGGTTTCAGAATCATGCATTGTTTTTTTGGAACAAAATGAACTTGTTTTTAATTTTCAAAACAAAAACGCAGTTCAAGAATGTGGTTATTCTTTTTTGTTCATAAATTTCAAAAAAAAAAAAATCATGTCGTATAAAACCCCCTAAGATGTACTGCCATTAAACCTTTTTTTTGTGTTTCACTGTCAGTTCCAGTTTCTAAAAGAGTTGCATGTTTGCAGCTAATATTAGGGTCGTAGACCCAGCACAAGGATTTGGCAATGTAGCTTGGAAGGAGAGAGTTGAGGGCTGGAAGGTGAAGCAGGAGAAGAATGTTGTACCAGTGAGCACTCATGCCACTTCTGAAGGCAGGGGAGGTGGAGATATTGATGCTATCACTGATGTACTTATGGATGATTCTTTAATGTGAGTCACCCCTTGATTTTATACTACAAATTTAATTCCCTCTTTAGTTTTATATTTTTACTTAAAGGTTTTGTCTGGCTTCTGATTTCCATCGAGGCTTGAGATTGTGAGTTTTTACTAGAATAATTGATAATGTGAATTTTCATTCTTTAGGATAATCATACCATCCTAAGAGGTTTGGAGATTTTGGTCATTCCCAATTATTAACTTCTTGTTCAATTAATTTCATGGATCTTAACCCCAAGTATTACCCATAAATATAGTGAATAGTTTCATTGACACTGAAAATTTTTAATATTATATTATCTACACATTTACTTTTCACTCCAACTTTTAGTGCACAAAGGAGCTTCAATGTTTTCCTTTTAATGCAGGAATGATGAAGCTCGCCAGCCTCTTTCAAGGAAGGTTCCTATTCCTTCATCTCGGATAAATCCTTATAGGATGGTCATTGTTCTGCGATTAATTATTCTTTGCATTTTCCTGCACTACCGTATAACAAATCCTGTACCCAATGCATATGCTTTGTGGCTGATTTCTGTGATATGTGAGATTTGGTTTGCTATATCCTGGATATTGGATCAGTTCCCGAAATGGTTTCCAATAAACCGTGAGACCTATCTTGACAGGCTTTCTCTGAGGTGAGGGACTATTCCTTCTTTTGCCCATCTCCAGTGTCATATCCTCTTTTTTAAGTCCATTTTTGAGAGTTCTAATTCAAGGTTAATTGGATAACAGATATGACCGAGAAGGAGAGACATCACAACTGGCTGCTGTTGACATTTTTGTCAGTACTGTTGACCCTTTAAAGGAACCTCCTCTTGTCACAGCAAATACTGTCCTTTCCATCCTTGCAGTTGACTATCCAGTTGACAAGGTCTCTTGCTATGTTTCTGATGATGGAGCTGCTATGTTGACATTTGAGGCTCTGTCTGAAACTTCAGAATTTGCAAGGAAATGGGTTCCTTTCTGCAAGAAATATAACATTGAGCCACGTGCTCCAGAATGGTATTTTGCACAGAAGATTGACTATTTGAAAGATAAGGTACAACCATCATTTGTCAAAGATCGCAGAGCTATGAAGGTATTGTTTCTTAATTCAATGAAGGGGGATTGTATTTGTTATTTTCTAAGTAATGCCTCTCCCCTGCTTTTTTTCATGTATCTTTTTATGATATTTCTGCTTGTCTTGCAGAGAGAATATGAAGAATTTAAAGTTCGTGTCAATGGACTTGTTGCAAAGGCACAAAAAGTTCCTGACGAAGGTTGGGTAATGCAAGATGGTACCCCATGGCCAGGAAATAACACCAGAGATCATCCAGGAATGATACAGGTTGGTGCATTTTGATTTTGTAGATCTGACTCAACTGCAAATTGCACATAAGTGGCCCATAAGTCCTAGTATGTTTGTTTCAAAAATGCTTTGACATGGAGAAAGAGTTTTTATACTCACTGACATGTATCTCCATATGAGGATAATATTGTGCATGGTCTTACATTTTTAGAGTTTGTTATTTTTCTTTAGTTGATAAAATTTTTCTTGATGTTTTCCCCTTGTGCATGTATACTCTGCAATTATTGAATCACAAAATTTTCAATTTCTACTTTTACGTTGTGAACAATCAAGCAATCAAGCAACTAGCAAATATTTGAAACTGTTGCTTTGCTCTCTCAGTTTCCTCCCTTTGTACTCATTATGGATATATATCTTCATTATCTGTAGGTTTTCTTAGGCCATAGTGGAGGACTTGACAGTGAGGGTAATGAGCTACCTCGGTTGGTCTATGTGTCTCGTGAAAAGCGTCCAGGCTTCCAGCATCACAAGAAGGCTGGTGCAATGAATGCACTTGTAAGTTAAACAATTGAACACTGAAATTTGAATTATCCATGTTTTGAAATGCTTCAACAGTTATTATGGTCAATTTAACTTCATGACAGGTTCGCGTGTCAGCAGTGCTTACCAACGGCCCTTACCTATTGAATCTTGATTGTGACCACTACATTAACAATAGCAAGGCTCTGCGGGAAGCTATGTGTTTTCTAATGGATCCAAACCTTGGGAGACAAGTTTGTTATGTTCAATTTCCACAGAGGTTTGATGGCATTGACAAGAATGATCGGTATGCCAACCGAAACACCGTCTTCTTTGATGTAAGTTCTTGTATTCCTTTCCAAAATTCGTATGGTCTCAGCATGCATTTCTTTATTTAATTTTTAACATCTTAGGTAAAATCTGAAAATTATATAGAAATCATTAAATTTAGAGAAAGTCATCATGGTAACTACTTTTTATTGCCAAACATTGTGGTCATTTTTTTATTGTGGGTTTTAGATAAACTTAAGAGGCTTGGATGGCATTCAAGGCCCTGTTTATGTGGGTACCGGATGTGTCTTCAATAGAACAGCTTTATATGGTTATGAGCCTCCTATAAAGCCTAAGCATAGAAAACCAGATTTCTTATCTACCTTCTGTGGTGGATCACGGAAGAAGGGTTCAAAATCAAGTAAAAAGGGCTCAGACAAGAAGAGATCTAGCAAGCATGTGGACCCAACTGTGCCAATATTCAATCTAGAAGATATAGAAGAGGGGGTTGAAGGTATGGATAGTGCTTTTTTTACATCTTATTCACCACAATTTTGTTGGATCATGACAAAGAACTTATTAAGAAGAGCAAAAGAAGACATTTTTAGACTGATACTTTATTCATGCTCAAAACCAGGTGCTGGATTTGATGATGAGAAGTCACTTCTCATGTCACAGATGAGCCTTGAGAAAAGGTTCGGTCAGTCAGCTGTGTTTGTTGCCTCTACACTTATGGAAAATGGTGGTGTTCCTCAGTCTGCCACTCCCGAGACTCTCCTTAAAGAAGCTATCCATGTTATCAGCTGTGGATATGAGGATAAGTCTGAATGGGGCAGTGAGGTATGTTAGTATCTCATTTTGATGCTTTGACTTGCTTACTGACATTTGTAATTTTTACCATTACATCTCATAGAAATTATCATGCAATTACATTATGAATTGATGTTATCAATTTGAAAATGATCAGGTCCTGAACCATTAACCTAGGCTGGCAGCAAGCAAGTAATATTTTAATTTCTTAATGTGCTTTTTTCCTCATAAAGGAAAGACAACTTTATTGAGATGTGAAAAGATGATTTACAATACAATCTAAGCTCACCCATGGCTGTAGACATTTTTTTTATTAGTTCTATGGCTGTAGACATTCCAGACAAGTAACAAACTTTCTAGTACTATTTTGGAAAGATAAGAAACTTTTCATTGAAGATGCAAAAGAGGTGAAGAAAAAGGAGCTATAGAGCATACAGACGTGTAGATCTGCAAGGGCATTTTTTAGGATACACTATTTTCTCACCTTTGACGTTCAAGACAAGTCATCATTGATCAACAGATTTATTGATCCCTCTATCCACATTTTTTGCAAGTCATCATAAAAGGGAATCAAATTATCTATGTGATGGAGGACAATAGTCTCCTATATCCTTGGGGATGATATGGATGATGATGTTTTTAGAGTTAGTATTGGATTTTCATCTGCCTCAAACCATGAGAAGGAGCCTCTTTCATTCTCTTAAGAATGTTCTGGAGTTGGTAAAGAGAACAATAATAGGGGCAAAATAGACATTTTCATCATTCCATGAAATTTAACAGCATGATCATTTGACAGGGGTTTATAGGATACCTCAGGGGAAAACAACAGAAAGGGGGGGGGGTGCTATATAGGCATAGACTACACCTAAGAACTTTCTCTGAAAAGCTTCACTCGTATTAAGAAATAGAAATATTAACTAGACACCCAGATAAGAAAGATATCATGATTTCTTCCTGCCCCTGTTGCTATTAATTGTCATGCTAAAAATCTCCTTACCATCTTGGGGTATTAACAATTTCATGGTTGTTTGCTTCTGCAGATTGGATGGATCTATGGTTCTGTCACAGAAGATATCCTTACAGGATTCAAGATGCATGCCCGCGGTTGGCGATCAATCTACTGCATGCCCCACCGCCCAGCCTTCAAAGGATCTGCTCCTATTAACCTGTCAGATCGTCTAAACCAAGTTCTACGATGGGCTTTAGGTTCTGTAGAAATTCTTTTCAGTCGACACTGCCCCATGTGGTATGGCTACGGTGGAAGGCTGAAATGGCTCGAGAGATTTGCTTATGTCAACACTACAATTTACCCAGTAACTTCTATTCCTCTTCTTGCTTACTGTACATTACCAGCTGTCTGTCTGCTGACTGGAAAGTTCATTATTCCACAGGTAACTATGACTATCCTCGCTACTCAGAACATTAATTGCTTCCTTATGATCTGACTTCCTCTGGGTTAAGTACTTTTGAATCTAACGAGTGCTGTTTTGTTTCTTTTTTTTTATTGCAGATCAGTAACTTCGCTAGTATTTGGTTTATATCCCTCTTCCTTTCTATCTTTGCTACTGGTATATTGGAGATGAGGTGGAGTGGTGTTGGCATTGATGAATGGTGGAGAAATGAACAGTTTTGGGTTATAGGAGGTGTCTCAGCCCATCTTTTTGCTGTCTTCCAAGGCCTGCTCAAAGTCCTTGCTGGCATTGATACCAATTTCACTGTCACGTCCAAGGCATCTGATGAGGACGGGGACTTTGCTGAGCTTTACATGTTCAAATGGACAACTTTGCTCATACCACCAACCACTCTCCTCATTATAAACTTGGTTGGGGTGGTTGCTGGTATCTCCTATGCCATCAACAGTGGGTACCAGTCATGGGGACCTCTCTTTGGGAAGCTATTCTTTGCCTTCTGGGTGATTATTCACCTCTATCCTTTCCTTAAGGGTCTAATGGGGCGCCAGAACCGAACACCTACAATTGTTGTTGTTTGGTCGATTCTCCTTGCTTCCATATTCTCTTTGTTATGGGTTCGCATCGATCCCTTTACCACCCGGGTGACTGGCCCCGATGTTCAACAGTGTGGAATCAACTGCTAGAGGGAAGAGTGAAAAGATGAAAGAACAACAAACTAACAATTTAAAGTCTTAAACCTTGGCAACTGTTGGACGAAGGAAAAAGATCAAAGTTTAATCTTGATATCTGATGAAGCTAAGGCTGAAATGCAGGGCTTTTGAGCTGTGCCTGATCAGGTTCGGGTCTTGATTGAATTGTGAAAGTATATACATGTAGATAGGACAGCTCGAAGCATTTTGTCTTGTAAGTTATGATTATTTTATTTGTTGAATCAATGAAATTATTGAGTTGGAAGAAATTGGACGGAAGCCGCTTTCTTCCCTATCGATCTGTAAGGAAAAAAAAACAAAAAACTATTGAGTTCTTAATGTTTAGATGTTCCATTCTTTCTGTATCTTTGTTTACCTAAAAAGAAAAATCTATGGCTTTTGTTTCTATTGTTACGTGCCATGGTTCACAAGCAGCTTTTCTACCAAGGTGGCTGCATGCCCATTTGACTCGTGAGCTTGTGTAAGAACAACACAATCAGAATCGACACGGCAACTTTGGCATGAATAGCAACATAATTAGAGTTTCTGTTTCTGTGAACTTTGTCATACACCATCTTCCTAAAAGGATCTCGATTTCTCTTTTGAAGAGTTTTTGGCCCGCAGATCGGATTTCAGTGTTCATAAGATGGTGCTCACACGATTTTACAGCCTTTTACAGCCATGAATTGAGAATATCTTTGTACTTGTATTCTCTTTTTACGGAGAGAAATTCCCAATAGTCTTGTGAGGACCAAATCCGATCATTGGCCCGAGACAGAAACCTACTGAAAAGTGAAAACCAGTGTTTTCAAACAGTTGTTATCCGAGTGGTTGAACTTGTAGTCCGAATATATGGACTCAAAATCCATTTTCTTTTTAAATTTTATAAAAAAGATGAAATAATTCCAATGGATTTAAAACTTGTTCGTAGGTAAATCAATTGCAAAATGCTTTTGTAGACCCAATATCTGTTTTACATCTTCTGTCCGAAAAAATGATTCATCGAAATAACGAGTCACCCGTTCCATTGATATAGACACATCTGAGATCACCAAATGCTCGGGAGTTCCTCTATTCAATCATTTTCCTTCTTGTTGCTGGATATCTTGTTCGTACACATCTTCTCTTTGAAAGTCTTGAACTAGTGAACTGGTGACCTGGACTGGGCTGTAATCGATTAAGAGCCAGTTACATATGCATCCGATCCAATCATCACTCTGGATCCGATATGATGGACTCAGATCAGCTCGGCTTAGCAGATCCTTAGTAGTATGTTTGATGTTTCATGTAAATTCAGATTTGGTAAAAGATTACGATCAATAAATTTTGCATTATGTTTGGCTGTGATGAATACAAATAAAAATTTGGTTGTGATGGATATAAATACAAGGGGGTGTGTTTTTTTTTTTTTTTTTGGATTTTGAGAAAGGGGAAAGTTGGTCAATGGGATTTTGGGTCCCATTGATTAAGAATACCATGTTCTTTTTTCAGATTTATGTGGAGACGAGGGAAAGTTTATTTTCTTGGGTATCTCCTAAGGGGAAAGTTGTCAACACCTGAATGAGACAAAAATGACATTTTTGGTTATGGTTTTTTATGGTTAAAATGATCATTTCCTTATTTACATGAGAAATAAAAGAACATGGATAAATGCACTTACCCGGGTAAATGTTTTATGGTAAATAACTTACTGAAAAACGAACGGGGCCTAAATTTCAATACTTGTATTACTATTTTTACGACCAACCTTGAATGAAAATGTTTGCTTTCTATTTTTTGGGGAACAAACTTTGCTCGCATTTCCAATGCAACAACTTATAAAAAAAATCATTTTCAGTACAAATATGTATTCGTACCAAATACCTGCAGTCTTAACGAACTCAGTATTTTTCAATTCAACACATGTTCTATTGCTACTTGTTACAATTGTAATTTGAGCAATAGTTCATTACTTCGATATGGAAATAGTTAAATTGCCATAAAGTTGAATTCCAAGTCTGCTTGGGGAATCAAGTGGCATTCCCAGTTGAGTCAATCAACAAGTCTAATGTTTGCCAGCATCCTACGATTTGTAGGTCATCATCCTAAAATTCAGTCAAGGTCTGTTCTAGTAAACCTCACAACAGTATTAACAGAAGCTAGTTTTTGCCACCCATATTATATTTTCTCTTACACCCAATTCAGGTTTCGTTTGATTCACAGCAGGAATCGGAATTGGAATGGTCTATTCCGATAGTCTGTTTGGTTTAGACAGGAATGAGAATAGGAATTAAAATAAGCAGGAATGAAATTTCATTAATTCCTAAGGGAGGGGCARGGAATAGCCATTCCCTTGTATGGGGAAATGCCATTTCAACAAGAATGAGAATGGAATCCTGATTCCGCTCAACCAAACAGTTGGAATCAGGATAGCCTATTCCGGTTCCGATTCAAACCCCTATTCCTGTGAACCAAACGGGACCTCAGTCTTTGGTTTCATTATAGTATTCTGTGGCAAATTTGTATTTGAGAAGGACCAGAACAATAACCATGATAGGGTCCTACATTCCCTGTTTTAAGTTTCTCAAAGAACCATTCAACCTAAAAGGTTAAGCTGTTACGTGAGGTTCTTGAATAGGTTGATATTCTCTAACACGCCCCCTCACAAGAAAGCCCGTTAGGCTTGAACCTTGTGCTGAAAATTAATTATAATGGCGTGATGAGGGTGAATACTGGACCATTTGGTCAAAGTGGCTCACATACCATCTCAAAGAATTAGGGGTGAGCAGGAAAAACCAAAAAATCGAACCGACCAAAACTGAACTAAAAGTTCAGTTAACCGAACCGGTCAAAACTGAATTGAAAGTTCAGTTAATCRAACCGATCGGTTCAGTTTAGATTGGTTTGGTTTTGGTTCAATATTTTAAAAAACTGAAGGTATTGGTTCGGTTTTGGTTTCGGTTAACCAAAAAAAAATCAGCGATTAACCGAACTGACCAGTATACATATATTTATATATTTTATGTATATTATATATTTCTAGTGTTTTATTATATATTTATATATTTTTTATAATATATATTGTAAATAATAAAAAACCAACAAATCGAACCAGTCAATTGGTTAACCGGTCGGCTTCGGTTTGATTTCGATTACTGATTTTCCAAAAAATGGTAAGCCTAGTTCAATTTAAAAAATAAACCCATTGATTGGCTAACTTAACTGTGAACACCCCTACAAAGAACTATTTAACCTAAAAGCTTAATCTGTTAGGTGAGGTCCTTGAATTTGTTTCTCTAGCAAAGTTTTTGAACCAGCGTGAAATACAGTAAGTTGTTGTTGGGAAGAAATTACCCACTTAGAAGGGGAGTGCTGGCCTGGCCCAACGGGGAGGAAAAGTGCAGCAAATCTGGACTCCTCTACTTAATACCCAACATTCACTCACCATTTCACTCAAGAAATTAAACTAATAATAATAAATTGAGGTGTCGTCTATCTCCTTGAATCTGAATTCCAGAAAGCAACCCACCATGATTAAATTAATGAACCAATCTAAATTGGCATTAATCTATTTTCCCAAGATTGATTGTTCCGGCCAAAAATCCTCAAAGCCAAAGCCAAAATGGAAGTGAGAAAAGAGATAAAAACCAGACTTAACAAAGTTTTTCAATACAAGGATGAAGTGATGCATACAAATAGTAAGTTCTACACTCAAGACCCATCAACAATTCTTGACAGAAGACTCCATGGATCACCTTCCTTTGTGGCAGACGCGAGCTGTGGGCATGGTGACACAGATTGGAGCATACTTTTTCAAAGCATCTGGGGTCCCAGCCTTTGGCTCTTCGGCCACTGCAACACCTGCAATGGAGCAAACAGCAGCAGCTGCAGCTGCAAACATCAGGTCCCTCCTCCCATTGCCGGCCTCTTTGTTGGTGCAACTCAACTTCACTTGATCACCTTCGCCGGCTCTCGCAGCCTTGGCAACAATCAGACTGCGCCGGGCAGTCGTCGAGGGCCGCTCGGAGGCGCTTACTCCGCCTAGGAAGGAGGCTGTCATGGTGATTGAGGCCATCTCTGCAATTTTTTATTGCAGTACTCGAGTCTGCACCTTTTCTCTCTACACACAGGCTCTTCAATGCAACGGAAGGAGATAGAGGGGAGTGTTTGGTTTTTCTAAGTGTAAGGAGTGGGAATAACAGCAAGCGAGGTTGATAGAGGCCATCCATTATCTTATCTGAAGGCATATTTGGACCAATGGACGATGACCACGTGTTGCTTTATCTTGGGGGAATCAGTGGTCTTGAATGGTCTTGTATCTTGTAATGTTCTCAGGTTATTTTTTTGTTTTTTTTTTCAAAGAGAGGTAGCCTACCCTCGTTATGTAGTCCCATGAGAGAAAGGGCCTCAAATCTCGTTCATACGTAGTTATTACACGTGTCAACTCCAAATTATCCGTTGAAAAATGCTTCATTTCCCATTTAGCGGTGCCCATTTAAGTCCACTTCTAGTGTTAGTTTTTGGGTTATGTATACTTTATCTGATTATAAGTTGCACAGAGAATGGTTGATAAATTTATATTATTTTTTATATCTTAATATTTATTCTTTTATTAAGTTTTGTTGATTTATTTAGGGGTGTAAATGGATCAAATTCTAATCGAATAAAGTAATATTTGAATTCAAATCCAATTAGAAAATTTGATATCTGACATATTAAAAATCAATGTTCGGATTCAAATTTAATTAAATATTCGATTCGATTTGAATTAGATTGATTAATTATTTTAGGTAATTAATAAATATTTTATTTATATAAAGTATATAAATATATAAATTATTTATATAATTTAATAGTTATATAAAATATTTAAATATTTTATATATTATATATAAGAACTAAATAATCAGTCGAATTTGGATATTTATTGAATTGAATTAGGTCATAAATGAATTCGACCGATTATGACATTTGAATAATTCGAATTTGATTTGATTACATTGAATCTCAAATTGGAAATTGGATTTTTGAATATCATTGACACCGTTAGGTTTGTTATTATTTTTGTATTATTTTTGTATTATTTTTAGGTAAAATTATAAAAACCCCTCTTATAGCAATTCTATAAACCACCTTTGTGTTTTTTCCCTAACAAAGGCCTCCCCTATTTTTGAAAAAAAATTGCAAATACCTCCATTCCCTTGGCTTTTCAATAATAAAGATATTGAAATTACCAAAATTCCCTTATCATTGTTAATGCATTATTGTACAGAATTTAAAGTTTCAACTTTATCCTCCACTAATTTATTTTGTCAAACAATTTTCAAAGAGTAATTCTCTCTAGTCTTCTTAGACAAAGTGAGGTAAAAAGGCTGAAGTCAAGTAAAAGGAAAGCAAATCTTTCAATAAATTTACATGCAAATGAAGTTAATTAAAGGTAAATTTGGCATTTTAAAAATATTGATGCATTACATCATAATTTTTTGTTTTGAATGCTAATGAAAGAAAGGCATTTGCACCTTTTTTTATAACAATAGGGGAGGTTTTTGTTAAGGTCAAAACATAGGGTAGTTTCATAAACCCAAGGAGGTTTTTATATTTTTTCCTATTATTAAATGGAATTTAAATTAATTAAATTTTATTTAAGACTAATTTTTTATTAATTTTTATTTTTATTTATCCTTATTAAATTTAATTATCTATATTAAGTTTCTATTTTTTAGTGGAACGTAAGTTGGTTTTAAATTAGTAAAAATTAATTATAAAACTAATAATTGTCAAATAGTTTTGCATTAGTTTTATATTAATTTTAAATTGATATTAGTTTTTAATTTTTATTATTCCTTTTTATCTATTAAATTATTTTTATTGCATTAATAAAAATAATTTTATTTATAACAATAATTAATAATGATTTTTATTTTATTTAAGTAACTTACTAAATTATTTTACTATGGCTAATTAATTTATATTATTTTCAAATGGAACATAAATTGATTATAATTTTTATGATGTTTTATTCAAATTTTCAACCTGTTTAGATAGTTTAACCATTCAAACCATTACTCGTCTCTATTTCTAATCCAAGTTTCCTAAAACCTTCCATGTATGACTTGGGCGGTTGATACAATATACAATGTAGTGAAAACTTCTGGAGGATTTAATTTTTTGCTTGGTTGTCTAATTGAGATGATCTTTTTTTTTTTATAACTTTTTGTGATCTTTGCAGCCACACTATAGAAAAAAAAAACTCAATTGTTGGGCTTAAATTTCAGTTTTGGCTCTTATATTTATAAAAAAAAAATTAAAAAAAATAAACCTTATATTTTACATATATAGATGGATGACATGTCACAATTTGACCTGCCCAACCTGAAAAGTTGAATAGTTGACTTGTGGCTTAGAGGCAAAAAGTCAAAAACCATTCAACCTCTAAATTAGCTTTTAAAACACTGATTTTATTTGTTGGGTGGAGTAAATAATATCTATTTTGAAATGCAAATTACTTGATTAATTAACAATCTTTTAAATGGAAGTAGATTATATAGCCTAATAATATATCATTGAATATCATCATTTTAATATAACTAATCTTTATTGATAATTATAATTTAATGTAAATATATCTAATGTATATAAAATTATAGTTATATTGAAATTGATATAGATACAGAGAGAGTTAATGGCATAATGAATGAGAGAATTAAAAGAGCTAATAGGAGAGAGAGAGAGAGAGAGAGAGATAATGGTGAATTAATGAGGAGACTTATAAGTCTTAAAGGATACCGTACTCCATAAAAACTTCCTACCTTCCTGAAGGAGAACATTTCCCTCTTTCTTGTTTTCTTGATTGAATGAATGTATTATACAAAACCTTTTATCTTGTTGCTGATCAAGCAACGGTAAAAGCCTTTGATGAAGACAGTCTAGAAAGAATTCTATATTTCAACAAAAGGCGTGAGTAAATATGCCTTCACCTTCTTTTTGATCTTTCTATGCTAATGGACCTTGTGGATTAAACATCCAAGCAAAACCACACTGGTATAAAACTGCGCTTTTCCCATCATTCTTCTTTTTTTTGGGTAAATCTCATCATTCTACTTAGAATTTAGTACTAGGATCAAGACTGACCTATATACGGCGTCCAAGTAATTCATCACAATACCAAACGCAAACATTCCAAAGGAAATAACTACTAAAAGTTTATGCAGCTTGAAATCTAACAAATATTTGAGTGCCTAGCTCGAAGGTTGCTTATTTCTGTTGCTAGTACCACCATGCACAACCAATTGATGTTGTGAAACTTGGAAAAGCAGACATTAGAGTAGGGATTTATCCTCCAGACCTCTTTTATCTATCAAATAAATAACAAGTCATCCAGACCAATAGGTCGGTATAACAAAGGGGCTATTGCTTGGTGGAATGGTAAAATCTCAGGCTGACGAGTTTTAAGTCTGAGAGTGGCTGTAAAAAATGCCAGATGTTATCCAGTCCACCCATCAAAAAACCCTGGATAGCAAGGACAAACCTTGGGTACATCCACAAATAAACTTCAGATACAATCATGTAGAAATTGTACATTTACAGACAGTCATAGAGACTAAAGATACTGTACTTCTTGTTCTCTTAGTTTATATGGAGGTGGCAGCAGGCCATGTACATCAGCAAAAACATCTTCATAAATAGATGAGATCTTGTCAGGCGTCTTGTCCAAGACAGAGTCTGGAATGGCATCCAGGGTTTCCTCAAGAAAGGCCTTGATCGTCTACCAAATTGAAGAACCATTAGAACAGTTTCGTAGAATATTTTAGACCAAACTGAAAGCACCATAAGAACAAAACTAGAAAGATTTCAGAAAGGTTTCCTAAGAGTTCATATACCGTGCAGTGGCGAAATGCAGTGTCTGCCTTGCGCTTCCATAGGCCATTTCCAGGCTCTGAATGGAAAATGTTTAGTAATGGCTGCAGCATACAAGGAATGCAAGAGTATTTAGCAAAAGGATGTAATAAGCTCAGCATTTTATATTTATAGAAAATTGATGTTATAAATCACAGCATGTGATTCTAAAACAAAAATAGACCTCATAGAAACACAGATCGTTTTATGAACAGTATAATCCCTGATGTCTCCAAGATGACTAAAGCACTTTATAAGTTATCATTTACTGGAGAAAACCATTAGTTACTTGACATACCCATGGGGGAGACATGATAATCACTCAGATGAAAAGTGAAAGAAAAGGGAAAAGCCATTACCTTAACTACTTCCCGTACACTTGGTTTATTAGGTCCATATTTTCCTAAAATAGAATCCCCATACACCTGAAACTGTTCAAGGATCTGCCCAAGATCACAAAATGAAAGATGGAATTAACAAACAGATAAATCTTATATATGGATGCATATCTTTTAGAGAGATCTCTGTTACAGAACCTGGCGACGTGTAATACCACTACTTGGTACACCATATACTGTGGCATCAACATGTCCTAGCATAGACCAAGGGCTGCCAAAAATGCACTTGAGTTGTTAATTCTCTCATCCAGTATCTAACAACATCTAAAATGAGAAAAAGAGGATGAAATGGTTAAACTTTTAGGACACAAATATAACTGGTTCCATACATAGCAATAGTATTTCAGCCTGTTGCTTCCCAACACATTTATTCTTTGTGGAGCATTTCTAGCTCCAATTTGTTTGAAATATTTTATAAAATAATACATGCATTATATTGACCCAAATGAGATGCTTCTGATGTTTTCCATAAATAGCGTCTCAAAAACAAGTACTTTAAACAAGCTTTATTATTAGTTTGACGAATAATCCATGATTGAGTCTACCCCCAGTACTTCCTTCTGTGCATGCTAATTAATGCCAGACCATTTAGTTCTTGAGCCACCTCCTTAACCCAAACATAAATCACATCTTCTAAACCACCAAAACTATTAGAAACAATGATAAAATCCACTGATACTAAATTCTATTTCCAGTTACTTATTATACTACCTCTTTACCAAGCAGAATGTAAACATTCTGATGTTAGGACAAGTAGATCCTACAATTTTCAGATTTGAAAGTAAATTCATCAATTCATAGAGTGCACAAAGATGATTAAGGTGATCAATGAAAATAGAGATGGAGACGCAAGTAAAAAGCTTTTCTTTTAAGGATAAAAAGAAATTTCATTAAACTGAAAAGGGCAGAATGCAAGTAAAAAAGAATAAGCAGGAGATTAGGAGGGAAGTAGCTCACTTGGTCACTGGGAAGAAATGAGAGAGAGAGAGAGAGAGAGAGAGTCAACATAAAGACTTTGACCTCCTTTTGCAGACTTCAGACTGAACTAGGAAATTGACCCAAATCAATACCCATAGGGACACTTCCTCTTAACTTCTAAACAGCATAATACACTATTAATCCTACCACAAGTAAACAGACCAAAACAATTCCAACATAAACCCAGAAAATAGACTACAATCTTGTCGTTATCAGCAAAACAGCCGTAACTCTCAAAACACGTTGGATTTAAAAGATACTGGTCTCATTGGATAGATAACTCTATAATTTGTAGAAATAATTTGAAAGGCTTTCTTTTCTTATTACCACTAATAAGGGTAGTAATGTAATTTTACAATCTTTAAAAGGTTATGTATAAGCTAAGAGTTAGCTGATTATTATGTTATTAAACTCTCTCAATTTGTGTTATGGTCTACTTCTACACTACTCTCTCTACTCTTCCATTCTCATCATATTTCTTTTATCTCTACAGAATACTTCTTTATTGTTTATTCTAAAATGGTACCAGAGCAGATTTAAGGTCTGGAGGGCATAAACAGTAATCATGAACAGTACTAGAGGTGATTGGGCAGTGTTGACTGCTGGGTGTGGGGATTATACCACTTAATCAAGGAGAGTTTAATATATATTTTAGTGATGATCTGAGAACCACTGTAAGAAGATGAAAATCCTTTCCTGAAATGTTAGGGGTCTGAGGGAGGGTAAGAGAAGGATGGTGATGAGAGAGCTGATTAGAAGGCTTAAGCCGGATGTGATCTGTGTCAGCACCCAAAATTGAGCACCTCACCCCCTTAGACCGTAGATTGCCCATATAAACACTTCATTTAATCAATCGGACAGTACCAGAAGAYTCTACGTACCTTAAAATCCTTGCCTATAAAGTTTCATCACAATGCTCCTTCATTTGTCCCTTGATCGAAGCAAGATTCCTTTTCAGCTATTCTCATTGTTCAAGAACCATGATATCATAAATCCCCTAGGTGCAGGCCACTTTAGACCCATTTAACCCTGTCAACGAGTCTGGGACCCTCGAAAACCCCACCCTACCAAATTTCACCTAAAAATTCCATCCTTAGCCTTCAAACGAAACAAGATTCTATTTCACAAGCTGTCATTCGCTTGCACAACTTTCTTGTGATATAGCACCAACAATAGCCTTTCCTGAGTAATCCTGGCCACCCAAAAGTTGCTAACCCTTGGATCAGAATATTCCTTTGTTTGTAGCTTTTATTAGAACAACCCCAAGGCCCAAACTCACCTCATTTGGACCATTTTGCCCCTAAAACCCACAAAATACCTAAAAAATGCCCCTACCTTCCCTCTTACCTAGAATACCACCCGGATCACACCATTTGGACTATTTCACCCCTAAAAACCCTCAAAATACCCCTCACCCTCTTCCTACCAAGAATACCCCTGAATTTACTTCACTTGGACTGTCACCCCTGAGAACCCTTAAAATACCCAAAATACCATTCATTCTCCCTCTCCCCAAAATACCCATGTTCTTACCACCTTTAGACACTTTTGCCTTCAAAAAATTCCAAAATTCCTAAACTACCCACAATTTGCCTTTACCCCAGAATGCCCTTATTAAATTCCTGGATACTCCTACCCCTAACCTTTTTTCAAAATACCCCTCAACCTTCCTCTTACTAGAATATCCTTGCTTTCACCACTCTTAGACCCTCCTACCCTTAACCTTTTTCAAAATACCCAAAATACCCCCAACCTTCCTCTTACTAAAATGCCCTTATTAGATTCTTAGACCTTCCTACCCTTAAACATTTTCAAAATTCCCAAACTACCCCTACCCTAGGCCTATAAATAAGGGGTGAAAGGGAGCCCAAGGAGGCATCGGATTAAGCATTGGGGAAGAGAGCCCTTCTCTCTCAAGACAGATATTCATTTTGTTCTTGCCACCTCAGCTTTTCTCATATTTTTTTAAGGTGGAGCTTGAACGGTTGAAGGCAGCCATGGCCACCATTAACGATATGAAGAAGCTTGAATAAACTCCCATTGTTCTTCCATTCAAATCAGCACTCGTCTCTCTCTCTCTCTCTCTCTCTCTCTCTCTCTTCATTTACGCGCTCCATGATCGCAGGTAAGTCCTGATCCTTATTTTACAATCAATAATTTTATTCAACTTTGAACAGAAAGAAGGGGTTTGGGTTAAATGTCTGCTCTCTTTCTTTCCTTAGTAGACAACTGATTCCAAGAGAGGTGTGAAGGGGGGAAGCCCAGTACCACCCCACTCATTGAAGAGGGGAGAGTTTGAGCAGATGTAAGCCTCAACTTCCTTTTCTCATATCAAGTAGGAGTTGGTTCCAAGGAGGGAACCCCAATACTACTGCCCTCGTTGGATTCCAACCTGAAGCACTTCTTCAAGTCCATTAAGATCTTGCTCCAAAAAGCATGTCATGGCATTGGGGGTTCTCACCGGATACGAGAGAGGGGTGCTTCATCCCATCTCTCTCTCAAGCTAGAATCCTAGAGGTTTGAGCAGGCCAGATATGTGGAGTCACTATAACAAAAATATTTTCCAGAGAAAACCTTTTCTTGGGGACGCGCCACCCCAGGTACATGGTGAGTAGAGACTCCAAGAGGCTTTGAGCCAAATTTTCGGGCCTCACAATCTGCCTTCAAGAAACTAAACTGGAGAGGTTCGGCTTAAGGAGAAGTTTGAAATTTAGGGTTCAGGTGGTGGGGATTGGCTGGAACTGAATGCAATGGGTCTTCCAAGGGGGCTAGTCATAATCTAGGATCCAAATGTGCTCTTGAAAATAGGTGAGAAGGTGGGGGAATCTGTTATGGACGCATTCGTGGGGAAGAAGTACCACCGCCGGCAGCAGCAGTAACGTGGGACCCTCATCAGATTATCTAGCTAGCCACAGTTCATCTTACCTTATACTTATCTTATCTGCTTTCTTACTCTTATCTTATCTGTTCCAATAAGGATTAGTATAGAGTCTGATTTATCTTAGGGAGTTTTTATCCTTCTTG